ATTTTTTATCTCAAAATATTTTGTTTACAGAAGGTATATACTAATTATTCTGACTAGTGATTTAAATTGGATCTACTGTGTTGTTAGTAACATTGTCTAGAGGCAGAATCAAAGATAGCAAACCCAAGTAACAGAAAATCTGCTGCCAAGATGAAGGGAAGTCATAATGAATCAGAATGTAATCGAAAAACAAATTCTACGCCAATGCATTCTTACATGCATTGGCATGATAACTAGCATGATAAACGATCTCACTCTCTCACTCAAGCTACTAGTTATGCCAGGACAGAATATCTAGGCCACCACTGTGTAGGAGTTTTACAAAAGCCTATAGGCCAGAACAAGGGTGGATTTACAAATAGATGACGAGGTCAAAAAAAAAGAACAACATTTAGGTCATAAAGGACCAGCAGTTGTGACTGAAGTTAAAATAGGATTAAGCTTCTTATCTTCATTTTTATCATCAAATACTCAACCCACAATGAGGCTGAGGTCAGCTACTGGTGAAATTAAGGGGTATCCTAAAAGGGTTTCAGAAAAGAATGTACTTAAAATGAATTCAATAAAACAACTGGTCATGTGGAGAACTAATGAAAGGAAGATACTTAAGGGGCAGAATTCTAGACTGTTAGGACCATAACATAAGCCAGTTGTTTTCAGTAAGAAAATAAAGGTCCATGAAGAAATTATCCCAGGTGAAATTATCCCAGGTTACAAGAGCTAGTCAATGCAAAAATGGAATCTAACTGATTCCCTGCCTGTGTGCCTTCTTACACCCCACATCTCAGGAAGTACTGTGAATGAATGCAGCACACAAACACCTGTACTACCACAAAGAGATATGCATTCCAAGGGTCAATTCATGGAGAAAAACTTCAACTTTTTACAAAAACCAATTAAAACACACACACACACACATGCATGCACACTAATGTACTTAATACACTATGTAAAGTCTATGACTGTCTAAACACTAAGCTGTATACCTGAAACCAATACAAAATAGAAAGTAGACTGTAAAAAAAAAAAAAAACCCACCAAAACACCAAAGTAAAAATGAACAAACAAGGAAGAAAAAACCATATTACAAAAATAGGGAGTTCTAGCCAAGATGGAGGCATAGGTAGATATGCGTCCCCTCTTTGCACCAAAAGAAGAAAACAACTAATTTTAAAACAAAAAACAACCAGAACTGCCAGAAAATCAAACTGTATGGAAGTCTGACAACCAAGGACTTAAAGAAGAAACATTCATCCAGACCGGTAGGAGGGGAAGGGAAGGGCAACCAGGACTGAGAAGGTATGCAGCAAGGTGGTGGCTAGCACACTGGGCGGTTCCACATCTGTGTGTAGATAAACTGGGAGGAACAATTGGGGGGTGAGACAGACAGCATAATCCAGGGTTCCAGTGCGGGAAAAGAAAGCCTCAAAACCTTGGGCTGTAAAAACCTGTGGGGGTTGCAGCGGTGGGAGAAACTTCCAGTCTCATAGGAGAGTCCACTGGAGGTGCCCATGGGGTTCTAGAATGTACACAGACCCACCCACCCGGGAATCACCACCAACAGGGTGCAATTCACTTGTGGGTAGCAGGGGAAGTGACTGAAAAGTGGGGCAACAGCCAAACAAGTGCCACAGCACAACAAAGCGGGTTGCCCTGCCCTGGCTCTGTCCCTTACAACATAACAGCTGTGCTGAGACAAAGAAATATGGCCCAAATGAAAGAACAGACCAAAACTCCAGAAAAAATACTAAGTAACAAGAAGACAGCCAACCTATCAGAGGCAGAGTTCAAAACACTGGTATTCAGGGTGCTCACAGAAATGATCGAGTACAGACGCAAAATAAAGGGAGAAGTGAAGGCCGTACAAAGTGAAATAAAGAAAAACATACAGGGAATCAACAGTGAAGGGAAGGAAACCAGGACTAAAATCAACGATTTGGAACAGATAGAAGAAATAAACACTGAACTGGAACAGGATGATGAAACAAAAATTCAAAGAAACGAGGAGAGGCTTAGGAGCCTCTGGGACAACTTTAAATGTTCCAACGTCCGAATCATAGGGGTGCCAGAAGGAGAAAAGGAAGAGCAAGAAATTGAAAACTTATTTGAAAAAATAATGGAGAACTTTCCCAATGTGGCCAAGAAAATAGATATGTCAGTCCAGGAAGCTTGGAGAGTCCTAAAGAAAGTGGACCCAAAGAGAAACACACCAAGACATATAATTAAATTACCCAAGGTTAAAGATAAGGAGAGAATCTTAAAAGATGCAAGAGAAAAGGAGACAGTTACCTACAGAGGAGTTCCCATAAGACTATCAGCTCATTTCTCAAAAGAAATCTTGCAGGCAATAAGAGGCTGGAAAGAAGTATTCATAAAAAGCAAGGTCCTACATCCAAGATTACTCCATCCAGCAAAGCTATCATTAAGAATGGAAGGGCAGAGAAAGTGCTTCCCAGATAAGGTCAAGTTAAAGGAGTTCGTCTTCACCAAGCCCTTATTATATGAAATGTTAAAAGGACTTAGCTAAGAAAATTAAGATCAAAACTATGAACAGTAAAATGACAACATACTCACAACTATCATCACCTGAACCTAAAAACAAAAACAAATTAACAAACAACTAGAACAGGAACAGAATCACAGAAATGGAGATCACATGGAGGGTTATCAGCAGGGAGGGTGTTGGGGGAGAATGGAGGAAAAGGTACAGGGAATAAGAAACATAATTGGTAGGTACAAAATAGACAGGGGGAGGTCAAGAGTAGTATAGGAAATGGGGAAGCCAAAGAACTACGACTCATGGACATGAACTAAGGCAGCGGAACGCTGGAGGGAATAGGGGTACTGGGCAAAGGGGGATAAAGGGGAGGAAAAAAGAATGGAACAACTGCAATAGCATAATCAGTAAAATATACTTAAAAAAAGTTATAAAAATGAACACTTTAAATCTGCCTTCCTTGAAGTTCTGAGTAATGGACTCAGAGTCTGACTCAGAAATGTAAATAGAACAGTAATATATTACTAAATTTCAGAAACAAAATGCATCATACACAGAACAAAAGCTCTAGCTTTTTCATTTGAAGGGTGACCAGATCTTGAGTCAACACAAAGTCAAGGCCCTATGTGGTTTTCCCAAAAGAAAGCATGTGGGGCTTCCAGACCACAGTGACAGGAAGCAACGCTTCCTTCCTCTCATAGCTCTCACTCTCGTTCTTCCAGGGCTGCTCCTCTGGAAACCCACTCACCAAAGGAAATGCCCATAAAGAAATCTAGCAGTCTTGCTGTAGGAGCTGGTAAGGAGAAAGGCTCTTGTTATTTTAAAAATTCTACAGGCAGAGGACCTGAAATTAAGCTATTATTTAGATTATAACAAAAAGCTAGAGTACAGATGCGGATTTCCATTTCCTGCTCATAAAAAGCAGAAACTGAGGTTCTTATGGGCAACTAAATGTGCCCTCAGGCAAGTGAGGGGCCTCCCTGTACGCATTATTTCAAAAAAAAAAAAAAAAAGACACTGCAAAACCAAATGAAATAATGTGGAGAAGTGCTAGAATACCGATGCCCTCAGTCTTGAGACCGATTAGGTTTCCTACAGATACCCTTACCTTAATGAGTTGGAAGAGAATATTACATTTGTAAGAGAATACTAAAACCCTGCTATTCAAAGTGAGGTCTGAAGATAACTGGCATAGGTAACATTGGGAGCTCTTTAGAAATGTTGGCTCTCAGGCCCCACCCAAGACCCAATGAGTCAAAATCTGCATTTCAACAAAATTTTCACGTAATTCACAAGCACGCTGAAGCTGGAGTACTGTACTGAAAACACTGCAGTGCTGTGGCAAAAGGCTACTGAAATTTCAGGTGATCGCAACCCTCCACAGGTGCGTGTGAAGAATGAGTTCTGAGTCAGTCTGGCCTTTTCCTGGTACCACCAGGGAAAGGCTGACTTCTGGTCAACCACAGATTACACAATCAAGAGGTAAACATTTATCATCACATGTTATCAGTAACAATCAGGTGAACCTCATTTAGTTCCCTCTTCGTGGAATTAAAGATAACAGAGAAAAAAATTATAAAGCTAAGCCATGTTAAGAAATGCTTTATTAATCTGTTTGGATAATGCCAAAAGCCATGGCCAGGCTAAATGATTAAGTGAGCCTCGGTCATTACATTTTCACAATTATAATCATTAACAGCTAGGAAAGGGTACTGATTTACTGATGGACAACAACGTACTATGTTTTTTTTTTGTTGTTTTTTAAACTCTCATTTTAATTTTCATTTTCAGAGAATGGAATAGTCTAATGAGAGAAACAAACACTGGAGGAAAAATAACCTAAATTTTGATCATGGTTTTCACCATGTTAGCTAGTTATTGGAAGAGCAATATCGGTAAGGACACAATATTTAGGAGTGGGAGCGAAAGGGTGCATCCGTTTTCCCTTGGTTCCACTGACCTAGAATGTCCTTTTCGTGCCCGCTTCCCAATTATCTGATGCCCTAGATAAGGTATGGGGAAGCTTCCTAACAGAGAAAGCTGTTCCTCAAGAGCAAGTTACTGTAAATATTTATGGAGCAAGAAGCTCTGCCTTTAAACATCTTGTACTGGCAATTGAGATTCTATTTTAATTTTCTGAACAATATTGATAATCTCCGCACTGGTTTACATTTTTCTTGGCTCCATACCATCAAACTTTATTTTCCCAGACAAATTAACTGGGCACAAAGCACATGACAGATGACCGCAGTGGCCAGTGTGACAGAGAGCGAGGAAGACAGGACACAGACTGCTGGTCCTGCCACTCAGAGGTGGAGCGCTTCTGCAGGCTCTATTCCACCGAAGTGCTGATAGGAATTTTCTTTGTGTTTAAGCACAGGTCTTTCATTATTCAGTTCTAATTTTGAACACAAACAGGCATAAGAGAGGCCTGGGGTAGTTTTAATTGTGCTACCAAGTAAAAAATGTGAATGAATCATGACCTTTGCCCTCTCCTACTTACCTGATATAACAGCTATTTTCCCAGATCCATGTTCTTCTCTAGCTATTCTTTCTGCTTCCTCCATCAGCAGCATGCCAAATCCCTATAAGGAGCAGTAAAGAGGGTTGGAGAATTAAGGAGAAAACAAGTCACTAAAGGGGATCTGTAAAACAAGGGCGGCTAATATTTAGTACTTGCTAAAATCTGTTAAAATAAGAGTGACAAGAAAACCATTTATGGGAGTAAGGAAAGAGAAACCATTCAATTATACCAAAAGTACCCTATATCAGCCTAGTAAACAAAGGAAAACTCTGCAACAAGATACACAATGTATTTTGTGGATGATGTAATCTACTCAGGACAAGGAGGTAATTGCCTCTTAACTTCTGCCTCTTTTTAAACAAGTTCTAGGCACCCTCTAGGCAATATTCTTAATTCCTCTATTTTGGGGTCTACGCTATATTCACTAGTTTTTTCTTTAATTTAAAAAAAGTAAGTTATTTATTTAGGTTGTTTGGGGAAAGCTGAATACTGTTCCACTATATATGTCACAGAGTTTACATTTATGAAGTGCTTTAATACTTCCTAAGCAGTTTCACATTATCATCCCCTTTGAGTCCACAATAGTAAATTAGTTGAAATTGCCAGTACTAGACTATTTCTGACTTTCAAAAACAGCAATGTCATATGGTTCAATCTAATATTCTACTCAACTGAGTCTCAATTTGTCCCTTCCTCCTCCTCCATCATACCCAAAAGTGGGCAATTTGGGGAGAAGACATCTCTGAACCACTAAAAACATTGGTTCCTCTGTTTCTATGCTTCCCTTTGCCCTTCTTTTTCTGTCCCTCCCTTTGATCCCTCCCACCCCCTGTTCCTGTTCCTTTTCCCTTTCCCTCCTTTGGGCCGTCTCTTAGAGTCAAACAGAAGTGAAATACAGGATACCTGATGCTGAAATTTAGTAGGATCCCGACTGCTCACAGGGACTACACTTCCGTACACATGCAGCTCTCGGACTATGGAAACACCTCCGACCAACTCAAAACGGAAGGTTTCCTCTGAACACTTTCGTAATCGCAGGAGGCCAATCAAAATGTCTTGATCTGGGTCTTCGTATGATAAGAATGTTTCCCAGCCACCATTTGCAACATAATCTCTCCTTACCAATTCAACCTATGTAATAAAAATAACAAAATGCATTTTTTAAAAAGAACCAAGTTTATGTTTATAATCATATATATTTATTTAGGCTAATATTCACAATTAGGAATAAAGAATGCATAATCATGAATTATGTTTCTTTTTATTTGTCTACTCTCAAATGTTAATTACAGTTCATGCCTTGTTAATGGACTATTATAAAAGAAAAACAATTTTACAGACTCATAAGCATTTGAACTTCATTAACCTTGAGAATGTTACAATGATCTGGCTTAGTAAACGCTTCCATGCAGTTAAATCTCCATGAAGGGTCTATAAGGTAAAATTACACACTATGTAACACGCGTGGCTCTTGCGAGAACCCTGGGCCCCAGAGCTGTCAGGTGCTCAATGGTTTCATTTTCTAGTCCTTACTTCCTCCATTAAAAACCTAATTTTCGGGAGGGCAGGGAGAAAGTGTCATAGGTCACTTGCTTTTTCCTCAATGGCATCCCACAATGCTTTTAAAATATGTCTAGTTATGAGATTAAAACATTAAAGAAAACCTAATTATTGCAGAATGGCTTTTGGGGAAGGTTTTTCTGGTAGCAATCTATATAGGCTTTTGATTCTTCAATTCATTGTTTAAGTGGCCCTTATATTTCATATAAATATAAGCAACATGCAACAATACGCATACACAGAAAAGCCAAGCCTACATGTGAGCATGGTCACACCCATATACATTCTGAAAATGGCCAGACTGTATCCATTGCGAGGTGAACAATTCAGACTAATAGTATCTTCCTTCTCAATTTATTGTTTGCTAAATAACGGGACTGCACAAGAATTTGGCAAAATGATTGTGAAAAACGACAGTGAAATAATTCATTTTGAGAATAGGAGTATCAATGCAGATCTCAACGATCCTAGCCTTTCCAAATGGAGATCTACAAGAGCTAAATCCCACAGAAAACTTTATACATAGCTGGACATTATAGATACATAGGAGAGCTGTTAATTAATCACAAACAATAAATGCCTTTGGCATCAGGTTTAAGTTTTGTGGAACCTCTGTTGATAAGGGCAGATCTATTCATTTGATTACCATCAATGAGCAATAATTTAGCAGTTTCACATGAGATAACAGATTACATCTAGCTTCACCTGAATGTGGCCACTAGTCACATGTGTCTATTTACATTTGAGTTAAAATTAAATATTAAATACTCAGTTCCTCAGTTGTACTAGCAACCTTTCCACTACTTAAAAAGTCACATGTGACTGGTGGCTGATACCATATTGGAAGGCACAGATTATAGAACATTTCCAACACTGCTGAAAGTTCTACTGAACAGTGCCGAGCTAGAATGAAGTTCAGACTTGGTTTTCCTAACCTGGCTCTTCTAGAAATTGAGCCACCCTCATACTTGGTTTTCCTGGCTTGAAGCTGTATTTGATTCACAGTTACTCTGTGTTCTTAGTTTTACTCATTCACTTCCAGGGTTCAGTCCCATTGGTCAGAAGGTGTGGATCCAGGCTTGATGAAAAAGACTGATGAACAGGACCTAATCTCTCTATAGAAAATAAAGAAACTAACCTGGTATGGCCGTACTTTGTGATGAATTTCTTGAATGCCAACTTCTCTGGTTCTCACATCCCGACACTAGCAAAAAAAAGGTAGAGGAGGGGAGCAATTATAAAACTGGTAACTAATTCCATTTTTATTGAAACCTCTCCACCAAATCCTGAGCTCAAAATTAAGTTTGAACACAATTAACACTGTGAAAAAGAACTGCATTTAAAAATGAAGCCATCTTGAATAAAGCTGAGGGTTGGAAACATGGAGTAAAAAAATGTATGAAGTTAGTACAGTACTGTTTTTAAAATGTTTAGAATTAAAAGAAGATCTATATATAACATAATATTGGAAGTAAAGAACATACATCCTAAAATATGATAATAGTTTTAACCAGAGAACATAACTGTATTCCTAATTTTTAAACACTCTCACCACATTATTACAGTTATTATTTTTACCTGCCATATATTTTTAACTGCATGATCATATTTGTATCACTTTAGAAATGTCAACAAGACGGCTGCTAAAGATGTCTGCTTTTTTTGTTTGCTTGCCTGTTTTGCAAAGATGGGTGCTGTGGAAGAAAGAATGGGAGGGATGAAGGAAGGAAAGGAAGAAGAAAAAAGAATCTTAGACCCGTTTTTTATATAACCTGAACCAGAGTCACAAATGGCTCTTCGTGTCCCCGGGAGGCACGGAGCTGCCTGCGGGTGATACGGAGGCAGCGCCTGGTCTGTGTGGCCAAGCATGTGTGCTGCCGCTCTCACTTCTAGTCCGCAAGCTACACAGCCTGACATTTACGATTACAAAGTCCTGAAAGTATTCACCTATGTGTCCTATGGTATATTTTCCCTGCAGAGTAAATTATAAAAAATATTTTCAAGATTTTAACATACTCTACCAGTGAAAAAAGATCACCCTAGGAAATTTGATGATGTCATGGCATACAAGCTAAACTACCAATAGTGTATTTAAGGAGGACTGCTCCATATGTATATAATTCCACAAGAAATATTAAGAGCTCATTATTCAGTTCTATAAAAACAAAGCTATTTCTAGTGCACTTTGGCAGCAGTTTTCTCAAAGGAGATGCTCAGAGCAGACTTATAATCTTGCTTGGTACTGTTAATTACCATAAACACCATGAGCTGTTTTTCTAGAACTTAAAATTGTTTAATTTTGGGGGGGAGGCTGGGAAAATAAGCCATTATTATCACAAACTCTCTTGTGTACAATTTTATGAAAAATTTTCTCCATAAATTTGGCTAAGAGAATAAAATGTCTTCGGTAAGTCCTCAAACATGGTATACAATTCTCAAAACAATGTATTTCCAAGTGCAGTCAAAAAAAAACAACCCAAAATTTATTTATAAAAAATTGTGTTATTTATTCTTACATACATAAAACTTCAGTCCCCTTCAAAGTACTCTCCATTTGATGCAAAACATTTATCAAGACATTTTTTTCCACTGCTGGAAAAGTTTTTGAACTCGTCGATTTTGATGCCTTTCGTGCTTTTGACGTTGCTTTACCTCTTCCACATTAGCAAAATGTTTCCCTTTGAGGACTTTTTTCATCCAGGGACACAAAAATGGTTGCTTAGGGGATAGATCAGGTGAATTCAGGGAGGGTGGGTCATGGTGGTCACGCTATCTGCGGTCAAAAACTGTTGAACACTTAGCAGTGTGGGCAGGTGTGCTTGTAAATTACCTATCATGAAATGGGCAAACATGTTGAAAGACTTCAAAAAAAAAAGATGCACTATGGCCAAAGGCAGCCTCTCACAACAAAGCCAGCTGGTACACTGATACAGATGGGTTCCTAGAACACTCATCCAGCAGGGGAAGCCTGTATTACAATGAGCCTGCCTTCCAGAAGATAATTCTTTTTTTTTGCAGGGGGGGGTTCCCCCTTGTATTATGCATGTGAACACCCCACAGCTCCATTCCAGACCTCATGAATCAGAATCTCTGAAGGGAGAGCTTAGGAATCAATGCTCAGGCTGACACCACTCCTGGCCTTTTCTCTTTAGCAGCTGTAAGTAGTTCCGAGGGCACTGAGTTTCAAACCCTACAGAGATTTAAGGATCACCCACAGAGCCCTGGCTAGGTGGCTCAGCTGGTTAGGTTGAGGGTTCAATTCCTGGTTAGGGCACGTACATAGACTGTGGATTTGATCCCCTAAATGGGAGGCTATGGATGGATGTTTTCCTCTCTCTCTAAAAGCAATAAACAAATCCTCAGGTGAGGATTTAAAAAAAAAGAAAAAGAATCATCTACAGAGATTTAAATTGCAGATTCCTGGGCTATTTGTACTTCAAGGGCCAGCAGAAAGGAAGTACTTAGTAAATATCTGTGAACTAAATAACTGGCCGAATGAGGGGGGGCCCCCACTCCGCGCGCGCGGCTGGTGGGCATGGCACTTGCACTGTTTGGTAGTTATTTCACGCGTGTAATACTGCTTCTTCAAACATATTCTCATATTCTTCTAAAACCATTAGACAAGAATTGAACACTCAATACTTCAAAAGAAAAATGTTTTTAAAAAAGGGAGTTGAGCACATAGTTGGCAATCTGAGTAGGTAGGAAAAAACATTAAATCAACAAACTGTTTTAGAAGAAAACGGGTGTAAGGGATGAGATGCAGCCTTTGCAACTGCTAACTTCAACTTCAAAATGTTATACAGTAAGAATGCCTCCAATATGTGAGAGCTTTTGGACCAAACTCATATGTTTCTAAGTACGAGAATATCACACTTTTTGTTTCAGATTACTTTGATCTCAACAGTTATAGCCAGACTCTTACCTGTATTCCAAGGTCTTTCATTCTTGCAAATGCCAGCTCTCTCAAATTACCATGCTCCACTCCTGAGCTGACTAAGGGCATTGGGATGTCTCTGCAGGAGGAAAAAAGATGAGCTGTTGCAAAATACAAATCATTCTCTACAGCAGTAGGGTAGCAATATTTTAAAAAGGAAAAAACCCAAACAAAAACAAAAACCAAACCCCTCCCTACAATGCAGATCAGAAAAGCAGAGGCTGCCTGTTCTACTCCAGAGGCAAGGTTCAGGGTCTCTCTGTCCCTCCGTTTCCTCATCTATGACATTATGATTTTCACCTACCACTCATGGGTTTTTGTGAGAAACATCTGATGAAAATCACTTTATGAGATTAAAAAGTGAAAACAAATATACAATAACCATTAGTAATGATTTTTGGCTGAAGAAATATTTGTACTAAAAACAAAAAAATATAACTTTTTTCTTTTTTTAAGCAAAATCCATTTTGTTTACAGTTGCTGAATGATAAGTAATTAAAAGTCAGGCTTACCCAACAACTGGTCTCAAACAATAAATTGTTTTTCCTATTTCCCAAAAACCTAAATTAGCAATGACTCTGCATTCGAACGATTAACAGCACGCCTAAAGATGAGAGGGGATCAAATTTATTTCCTAGCATTAATACAGTGTCAAGGGCCAGGCACCAAGGAGCCTCCAATCACAAGTTGACGTATTGAGTTCCATTTAACACCCTCTTCAAGACAAAAATCAGTATCAAAAGATAAAGCAATTTTGAAAAATCTGAAGAATATGCCCAGCACATCTGCCTTCTGTTCAAAGACAAGTCTCCAATTTGTTTTGTCTAATATGTGGTTGATTAGAAGAAACATGTAGAATACGCAATTATCTTTTCTTCTCATTTTTGCTTTTGGATCAACTTGAGTCTTTTCCTTCTCTTTTTACTTACCCCTTCAAATGTTAAGTAAACACAATTAGCTACTTCACCCATTAATTCTAATAAGATATTTCTCACCCACACAAAAACATCAAAAGTCAATCAATTAGCATTAAAAACTATACCCAATAATTCTGTTGGGCTCTGGAAGTCAGTAGTTTCCATAAAGACTATAAAACAATGATAAGTCAAAATTTTTAAAGATAACTCACCAGGGAATTCAAAGTGAGAATAACACAGCCAGAGTTAAAGTCTTCTAAATGCCCTTTTCTACTGTAAAATATTTTATAAATAACTCACATATGTACTTTCACAACTTAAAGTAAAAAGTAAAACATTGTTATACATGATATGAAAAAACAATGGCAACCACTGTTAGCACCATACATGACACACACATTTAATTCTTGTTATTCGTTGTATAGTTACGTAGGCAGTTATGTTGCATAAAGGTGCCACAAACACTGAATGAGCAAGTACTGAAGCACTGATCCAAGGGAAATGCAGGGTTAGGTACCTGCAAGCCTTGAGTCACATTTTCTTTAACTGATCAATACATAACTTTATTCTATTTGTGTTTCTGTTTAAAGGCACTTTATTGAACATTGATTCATTAATACTGTACTTGTGGCCAATGGCACTATAATTCATGCCTCAATGAAACTTACCTAACTATGTATTTTCTCCATGAGGCACATCACAGCCTTCTTGTGCTTTGGAACACAAGATAGACAGCACCCCATTTTAAACAGCAAAAAATGTAAAAAAAAAAATGTGTTATTAAATAGACTGCAAAAAGGATACCATTTACAGTATGAGAACTAAAACAAGTACACAGTATCACATTATATCCTATTTCTCCCTCCTCCGCCCTCCAAATACGTACCAGCCCGGCACTTGCCAGTGACTCCTGTCTGTGTCACCTTCCCCATAATGGTTGCCAAACGGCGATTATCTGTTTTTATCATCACATCTGCCTTTATTAGTTAAGCCTGTATTGTGAGGAAGAACTTTCCCTTTTCCCTGCTCATTCATTTATTCATGAGCTCATGGATTCCTATTTTATTCAGTGAGTTGTAATCTGAAGTTAATACATTATTTTGTTGCTTAAATTAGATTTGGCCATTGGGCATGAATTCAGGCTGGTTTTTGGATCCTTGTGACATGTCCCCATCATTCTTTGAATAGTTTCTTACTTTCTAGAAACAGAAGATATTCCAAGTTTATCTTGTATGTTTAGCTGCACCAGCCCTGGAATTGGTCATTTTTCCAGGCAGCCCTGATTCCTTTCAGTGAAGTGTATGTAGTGTATTCAGTGTATTTAGACATCAAGATCTGGGCACTCACTGTGCTCACAACTACTGAGGTGACACTGTCTCTAGACCCTCTCAGTGTGCACCACTAAGAAATGTATGTATATACATTTATATATATATATTTATATACATGTACACAAACCGTGCATGTGGATGCCATGATAAAATCGATGGCAACCATTTTAGTATTAATGACAAGACAGATACAGATAAACAGATACCTATAACTATTTCCATATATAAATTTTTAACAAGCCCAGGAGTTCATGCTGATAATTACAATTTTAATCCAGTGGCTAAGTATTCTTTTCAGCTCCTCAGCTTTCAATGTTTATAAATCCCTTTAGACAGTGAGAAATCTGGCTCTCTTATTCTTTAGTATATTTACATATTTGCTAAATCAAATAACTTATTCATTCACTGTAACCACCCTCCCGGTTGCCGCCGCTACACTCCCCGCCCTTCCTCTCCACTTCTCCAGGTGCAGGGGGACCGCTGCAAACGCCTCTGCAGCGCTGCTGCACAGGGGAGGGCACGGGGGAGAGCAGGGGAGAGGGCTGTGGGCTCTACAAATATTGCTAACAGCGAGCCGGGACTTTTAAAAGACACTAAAATTTTCAATGAAAGTAAACCCTCTAAGGAATAGGTTTTATCATATAGCATTGTAAGTGTTAAGCAGACAGAAAGATAGAGTTATCAACAGGGCCCACTAATAATGTGGGGGGCGCAGTGCAAAATGAGAACAGAGGGCCTCATGTTAAAAAATTAATACTCTCAAATAATGAGAGCAGAGCATCAAACCAAGTACAAGTCCCTATGAAATTATGTGGGTCGCGTGTCCCTGAAGGTGGCTCTAGTATCACAAAGCACAAATCATCGAGGATCTGATAAAACAGGGCTATATAATGATGCTGAGAGTTCATAAATGTCTTTAAATTTATGTCTGTCACTACAAAAATGCAACATGGCTTTAAGGGCTTTGGCAGTGACATGCCTGGAGTAGACCAGATGGGAGTTTTTCCTCATTAAAGAATAGAAATGTGGCCATCTCCACTTTCAATGATAAAGTCTTTTTCACTGAAAATAAAGGAAGATAATTCTATATATTCTGGACACCTTCCACATGCAAAGTAATGTATATTAGGCAATCTGGAACATAGGAAGATAAAAAGACAATGTTACAGTCTTCTAGGACTTCGAAACTCATGTGGGATTGCTGACCATATGAACTTGCTACATCTGTCTAGGTAGGAATTAAAATTATTTTCAGGTTTCTCAATTTGCTTCAATCTAGCTTCACTTTCTTGAAGAGATTGCATTTGATAATATTCACTTTTCTATTTCAACAGGTAATACTTCTTTTTTAAAAAGTTTTATTTATTGATTTGAGAGAGAGAGAAATATTGATTTGTTGTTCCACTCATTTACGCATTTATTGGTTGCTTCTGGTATGTGCCCTGATCAAAGATCAAGCCCACAAATTTGGTGTCTCAAGATGACAATATAACCAACTAAGCTACCTGGCCAGGGCTCAACAGGTAATATTTCAATCGTAGTGGTGTTAGTATTTGCACCTTGCTCATCAAAAAAGCCTTTCAAAGTGATGCCTGGCACTTTTTTGGTCTTAAGTTTCTCACACTTCAGAAGCATGTTTTGGTTTCAAATTGGTATTCCCATACTAATGCTTTGCAGTGATTTAAATATCACATCAAGGCAGGCAGCTGTCGAATAGCCTGTGGGTAGCAGCAGTTTAAAGTGGCTCTATCACGTGTCTGGTCAGAATCTCACTGACTGCACCCTTCAGGCCGGCCATACAGAATCATCTGTTAGGATGATGCTTCATAAAAACACCTAGTAAGATGTTACTGACTCAACTGTCATAAAATTGTAAGTGTAAATTAGTTAAGGAAAAAAAAAAAAAAAAAGACTGTGGGAGGGGAATGGCCAATTAAAAATATAATCTATTAGTAAAATATGTATTTAGGGAAAAAAAGTGTAAAATATTGTACTTTCACTTGAAATATCTTCCCTTCTACTTTCCTTCCTTTGTTCCTCCTTTTTAACACCTGTCTAAAAAAGTTCCTAAAAATTTCTCCATGTACATGTTTTGATTCACTGATCAACATTTAAGTACACAGCCTGTATCCGGTAGCTGTCATAGGTAGAAATGAAACAGCCAGATGTTCTAAAGGCACAGAATACAAGACACATATGATTTCTCTTTACTATGATTTAAAACAAAAATAAATCAACTATAATTATTAAAATTGCCTGGATTAAACACTATAGAAGGAGACTTTCTCTGTTGCCAATGGCTTCTACATTCTCAGAACTTCTTTCATCCATAGAAAATGGATGAATGAGTGTGATTGTGTTTCAATAAAACTTTATTTGTAATACTGAAAAAAATTTCTTTAAAAGTCTAAAACTGAAGAGAGAAGAAACAATGCAGAGTCAAAACACTGTAATTCTCTTTTCCCAAATCAGGCTTCTTAGCCACTTAATAATGCCTAGACATCCATCGTTTTCTTGCACAAACTGGTACATGTGAAACTATTTTACCAGAATACAGCTACCAAATTGTTATTAGGTGGTAAGTGTACTATATGAATATGGACATGGTTTTTTGGATCTCTAGTCGTCTTATTTGTGCCGAAGGAGATAATTCAAAAGGCCCCTAAAAGGTAAAGGCAAAATTTATATATTTTTTGTAGCTATTTCAATAAAAAGTGCTATCTTCTTTTTGATCCAAATTCCATGACCAGCACATATATATAAACAGACAACTGATATAAGAAGAAACTCAAACACTTGGTTACATGGAAAGTATGTTAATCCTTATTATA